TGCTACAGTAGTATGTGAAGTCCTAGCAATTTGTTCTGCTCCTCCAACATCAAAGAAAATATTATAAGTTCTTATAGCAGCTCTATAATAGTAAGTAGAAACTTTCCTTCTACTTATTCTTCTTTCTTCTGGGAATTCTTCTAATAATTCTTCTAAGTAATAAGCATAGAACAGTTGTTGCTTTTTTTGGGATAGTCTAGCTCTCAACAATTTTCTATATGTTATAGTAATTCTTTGTTGTAATTCCATTGAGTCAGCAGTAGGTTTTGGGATATAGTTAATATTTGTAGAAAATGTTACTAAGACATCTGAGAGAATATTTTGGAAATTTGTAAAAGACATCTTTAAGGAAGAGGATGAAAAATTTAAGGACTATTTTCATCGCTCTGTTGAGTTATTATTATCTCAGGTTGACACAAATTTCTGTCATAATACTTTTTTAGTAATAAAGTATTGTACAGTGCTTGTAGGACTGTTTCACCTTCTGTTTTTAAAATATAAATATCACGTGCTACTTTTTTATGCACAAGATAAGGCCCTTTCCATTTTGGTAATAATTTGCCAGAATAATGTTTATCTCTTATTACATCGTATAACAGAACCTTATCTCCTTTTTCAAAAATTAGTTTGACTTTTTTGAACTTTTTATCCCAATAAAACTTTTGTTGTTTTTGAACCTTTTTAATATTATTTTTTGCTTGTATCCTTTGTTGAGATACTTCTTCAATTAAAGAGTATAATCTGGTAGGAAGAGTCTCTTCTATAGGTTCTTCTATATCAAAAATTAGAAATTTCACTTCTCTTCCATAAGTAAGATAAAAAGATATAAACTTGGTAGTAGCTTGTTTTGCAGTTCGATAAGCAAATAAAACTGATGGAATAAAAGTATCCTAATCTTTTCCATTATCAGATAATTTTGCTAGAGATTCACATAATGTTTGATTAAATCTTTCTACTAGTCCATTTGTTTGAGGGTGATATGGGGTAGATAATAAATGTTTGATTTCAAATTTCTGAACAAGAGCTTTGACTAATTCATTATTAAAATAAGTTCCTCTATCAGATAATAAATATGAAGGATATCTGTGTCAACAGATTATATCTTCATAAATAAAATCTACTGTATTTTTAGTATCAGCTTTAGATACAGCTTTAGCTTCAGGCTATTTGATCATATAGTCGGTAGCGACTATAATATATTTGTTTTGTTGTATAGTAATTAGTAGTGGTCCAACAAAGTCTATACCAATTCGATGAAAAGGTGCTTCTACAGGAATTAGTTGAAGAGGTCTAGGTATTCGATATTTTTCTCGTTTTTGACAAGTATCACATGTTTGAACATAATTTTTGATATGTTGATACATTTGTGGCCAAAAGTATTTATCTCTAATTTTCTCAAATATCTTATCTGTTCCAAGATATGCTCCAATAAGGTGATTATGCATTAAGTAGAGAATTGGTTCTACTTCATACTTTTGAATCACTATTAGTTCTTGATGAGTTTTCTGTTTTCTTCAGTCTTGTTTATAAAGTTGATTATTCTTAATTATATAGAATTTGCTTTGAGATTCTAATTATTTCTTTTGATTTCTTAAAAAATCAGTAGGAAAATTTGCTGTTTCCAAAAAATATTTAAGATTGTAGTAGGTAATTATATCCATTTTGAAGTATTTGCTAGGATACTGATAACTTAGACAGAATTTTCTTTTATGTCAGCTTTAGGAAGTAAAAAAAAATAAAATATTAAATTGAATAGAGCTCCAGCCTTGCTCTATACTATCCTAGATAACCAATAATTCTAGGCCTAGGAGAAGACTAAGCTAATAATATAATGTCCTATAACTAATATATATATGTATTTTTTTTTTTTTTTTTTTTTTTTTTTGAAGATATGTTAATTAAATAAATATAAAATATAGATTAAACTAAATATAAATTCAAATTAATATTCATAAGTTGTTGGATTAACAACTTTCCACTAAACTGCATTACAAAGATAATATTCTAAATAATTATTAAATTCAAGAAGATATTCTGGTGAAGGTGTTTGTAAAGGTGGTAACCACCAGGAATGTGTTGACAAATATTGTTCCAAACTTATTTCTTCTATATTTGAATAATAGTCAATATTCATACTAAAAGTATCAATTTCTTCATTAGCATCATAATCACTAAGAAGATATTCATTAATTAATGTTTTATTAAAAGGAATTTCAACAAAAGTATCATCGATAAGATTTATTTCAAAGGGTGTTTCAAGTGTAGTATTTTCTTCATCATCAGAGACAGAAGTTGGTCAATAACTTTTAGCAATTTCTTCTAAAGGATATTGCTGAATAGTAAGCCATAATTATAGGTTAATTTGACATTTAATATATTCATTACTGGGTGAGTATAATTTATTACCACACTAACATTATGCAGCAGATCCTTTCCAATCTCTTGGCCAAGTGTATTTTCCAAAAGTTTGTTTCAACTGAAGACTAATATATTCAATATAATACCAGGTACAGTATATTCTATTATAATGAATTCCATTTGAGGTAAACTCTATGTCTTGATATGAAGTTAAACTATAATTTTCATATAAGATTGGTTCAAGAGTTGTTATCATGTCTTGGTAATGATTAGAGTTCATTAGAGTTAGAGAGTTTGCAAGTAATTCATTATCAATAGCCATCATGAAAACTTCTTCTTCATAGTTTTCAAAAGTTTCATAATACTGAGGAGGTAAGTTTTCTGGACAACATACAAGTAATTTTTGTAAAGATACTTGTTTTAAAGTAATTCATGCTTTACAATTAGCTTCACATTGATAACATTTGCTACTTTGTTTAAGTAAGATATTCCAACACCAGCATTGAATATTAGAGCCTTTCCAACTTGAAGGTCTAGTTGCTTTTCCTTGAGTTTTCTTGAACTTCTCATTTAAGAAGTAAATATAAGTCCAGTCAAATTCTGCTTCATTATCAAATCTAAATCTAGTTTTTGATACTTCTATTTTATAATGCAGTTGAGTATCATATAAAGCTTGAGGGGGTAATTGTGGTTTAAGAATATTAAACAATTGTTCTACTCTTTGATTTCTATATAAAGAAAACTCTAAATTTCTTTGAATAGTAGCTTGTAAGGCTTCTTCTTCTGACGGTAATTCCTCATCATCAACAGATAACATATTAATAGATTTCTCATATATTCTTGATAATGTATCAGCATTACTATATTTTCTTCCAGCATGATGAATTATTATAAAATTATAAGGTTCTAATTTCATAATCTATCTTGCTCTTTTTCCTTTTACTTCAGTTGTCTTTAACTATTTTAAAGCAGCATAGTCAGTAACAAAAAAGAATGGTTTAGCTTCAAAGTATTGATGAAAATGTTCAATTGCCTAAATTACAGCTAGGCATTCTAATTCAGTAGTAGAATAATTTTGTTCAGCATTATTCAAACTTCTACTAGCATAAGCAATAACATATTCCTTGTTATCATCATCTAATTGTGATAGAACAGCTCCTAATTCTGAAGTTGAAGCATCAGTATGTAAATAGAAAGGTCTATTAAAATCAGGATATCGTAAGATAGGATCAGTTATAAGATAATTCTTTAGGG